ACCCGCCATGTTTATAGACTATTTGGGCCGGCCCATGAGCTACAGGGTGTTCTCCTAGACCGAGCCCGGGCGTCGAAGCCGGTCCCCGAGGGACCCCGGGTTTATGAACCCGACATGTATAATCTTCGGGAAAACATGTATTCTAAAATTGCACTTTGCTTTGGATTTCTAGATTTGTATTATGAACTTGTTCGGCATGCTGAGTTGTTACAAACTTGTGCTTGAGCGGACAAATGGGCTTTGTCCACCGAGGTCATTACTGCACTATGCGGGCTGTCTATCGTGTACATGACTATTCCATTCAATTGCAACTACTCCCTCCGTCCCAAATTATAAGTTGTTTTGGCATTTCTAGATCCATAGCGCTTTTACTATGTATCTAGACGTAATATATATCTAGGTGCATAGAAAACATTATGAATCTAGAAATGCCAAAACGTCTTATAATTTAGAACGGATTGAGTACTTGTTATAGGTTCATATCACACTGCATAAAGTCATTGACATAAGCATTCTTACACATAGCATGATTCAACCACTACACTCTTGTACTTTAATCAGTTCCACCAATATGACAAGTTAACACTAGTCACACATTCAAACAAAATAAACAGACCCTGATCATGCAATTGCAAAGGCCAGATGCAGAAACACTACAAACTACTTCATGCTTCACCTACTTCCAACTACTAGACTACTTCCATGCACTGATGATCAGGCTAGACACCAAGCCAACAAAAAAACAAACAAAAACCAACTGAAGGAACTACATCCAGTCTTATTTTTCACCGTCTTTTCTTCATTCCTTGTGATTAGATTCCCCTGCTCCTGTACCTCTGAAACCTACTGCCCCTCTTGAGCATTCTGCATCTCTTCAATCAACAACATCTCTTGAATAATGTCTTCCTGTGTTCTTACCTCTGCCAGTTCATTCCTCAACCTCCATACAACATCGCATAGATCAAGCAACAAATCCTTTAGAAAGTCTTTAGGTTTAGGATCCAATTAGAGATAGAAACCACAATCCAACGACGTCTACCAAATCAAGAAAAACAAACATGAATTCGACATGAAAAAGCTAGACATTGACAACAATTGCAAATCTTTCATGAACAGAAATGGGGTTATCATCGATTCCTTACCAGTGCTCTACTAAATCTATAGTAGTGCCGCCCTAGGTTGTCATCGCTCCATGAGATCCGTTGTGCTGCCTTCTTTGAGCAATCGTAGATAACCGGTGGCTCATAGTCATACAGACCTTGATGATACGGCACTGGAGGGCCCCTACCGATGCTCCCACCATGGACTGATGTGTGCAACGTCCTGGTGTTTCCCCGCCCTGATGTTGCCGACCACGATGACCCCGAGCTCGACCAGCCATGGAACCCCACCGCCTCCCAACCTTAGATCCAAGCCAATGGCTAGTCTTGCCGGTTCAAAAAAGAAAGGGGGCTATGAGTACTTTTGCCACCTACTACATACACATGCACACAAATCGTTATGGCACTCAAAACTATGGATGACATGTATATTATCTGACGCGTTCAAATATATGGCGGCAGACTTTCTTGCATGTGCAGTAGAATTTCAACACCTATGGCTCCTATGTTCTGCACTAGATTTGGGCCATGCTTTCTCCTCTCAAAGAAACCTTGTGTGGTTGCCGAGAGTGAAGTGAATGTAGGATGAAAGTTTGATAGGAGTGAATCAAGAAAATTTAAGAGCTTTTGACCACTATGACATGCCTGAGACTTGAAAGCCTAGTGCGGTTGTGATAGATCTTTTTTGCATTTATTTGACTCCAATCCAAGCAGTCACATCATTCGAGGAGCAGACTAATGAGTGAAGAGGGGAGTTGCTTCCATAAGCAATTTTCTTGGTTTTGCAGAGCATGCAGCAGCTAGCTAGAGATGACTACATTGGTTTCATAGGTTGTGATCGACTGCACTCCCTCGATTATGGTTGAAGTTGCCGCTTCAGGAATCCAACTACTAATAAAGATGTACCTACTATTTCATGCAAGCAGCCAAAGCCGGTGCAGTTGTTGTCTGTAGCACAACCGATTAGGCAAAAATTCTACTCACAACTCAGTACTAGAGTTACATGTCTGGACCAGTCAAATTTACACTGCTCAGACTATGAGGTGTGCATACGGATTACAAGAAATGGGTAAACGTCATTTCATCAGATATACTAGAGGGACGTGGTCACAGGCTGTGTTCTGCTTGGCTTTTAATTTAATTCCTAACAAAAAACTAACGTTTTTTAATGTATGACTTGGGGCCATGAGTACTTTTGTCACCAATGAACAAATGCACATAAATTGCTACGACATTCAAAACTACAGACGACACTTCTACTGTCCGATGAGATCAAATGTACAGCGGGCAGATTTTCTTGTACGTGCAGTAAAATTTCAATAGATGTGGCTCCTCCATGATGCATTAGATCGATGCGAGACTTGTTCCGATAAACTCCTCGCTGCATGGTTCTTGCAAGTTCAACAAATTTTGTCAAAGACATACAAATAAGATAAGTTGAGTTCAACACAGATTAAAGCCACTCATGACGACTACTACTAATACGTGTTTGGTTCACCAAACCGAGGCATAAAGAAACTCTTGCGTGGTTGCTAAGAGTGAATTGAATGCACGAGGAAAGCCTTTGCAGTTATTTCACTCCAAACAGTCACAACAGTCCAGGGGCAGACTGAAGAGTGAAGACGAGTTGCTTCGGCGTGCAGTCCAATAAGCAATTTCTCTTGGCTAGTTTGCAAAGACAACAACTACCTAGAGATGGGTACATGCATGGTTTCATAGGTTGTGATCGACTACACTCCCTCGGCTGCGGTTGAAGCTGCTTCAGAATCCTAACTTCATGCATGCAGTCACAGCCGGTGCTGCTACTATTTGTAGCATAGCCGATCAGACAATTGCTCTACTCACAACTTAGTGCTTGAGGGCGGAGCATTCACATGCCATGATTATGAAATGCAAATGGCATAATATTTGAATGATGCTTAACACAGGCGTTATAATAGGCTTTTTTTTTTTTGCTATTTCTAATACAAAGACATTTAAGTATTTTCATGCCTCTCAAAAAAAATCCTGATTAATTAAAAATAAAATTACAGAGAGAACACTAAACCTTTAACGGTATAAGTAATGAAATGTTCATTCAAATAAAAAGGTTCTGAGTTTCCAGCTTTTCTAAATAAGCTGCAGGAGAATATTTTATAAATTGACCAGCACTCAAACTTCATAACAATAGATTACTTAAACATAACCACTTCCAGTAGTTTTAATAAGGACTCATGAATACAGATAGTTGAAAGCATTCAAATATTGTGCTCACACACACAGACCCCACACCGCGCGGCATGTTTTATTGTATACAAACAAACAATAGGCTGATACCACACCTTTTTATGAGATAACATGACTTTAGATTAGATTAGCCCCAGCCGCGCGTTCAAAGGTAGATAGACATTCTAAGTACTTGTCCACAATATCTAAACCACATAGTTCTTTCACCAGTGTCATTGGTGCAGGGACATCCATCTGAAATTCCAGTGGTGAGCGTCCAGATACAGTGCTGTTTGCAAACTCCACTCTTGCTGCTCGGATAGCTTCTCTCAGTGCACAATGAACGGATGAGGCAAGAACCAAGGCAGGTTCACCAGAAGCTGGCAGAAACAATATAAATTGGTTGGTATCTACCAAGCCTATTTCAATCTACAATGCAATGAGGAAATAACTAAAGTGAGTACCTTTTGAGGAAAGCACACGGTTCTTATGGTATCAGGTGTTCAGCACCTCAGCATTAAACTGCTTTGGGATTATGTCGACACTCGGGATCTTGTAGTCCCATGTGCTGTTGCTAATCATCAGGCCGTCACTGTTCGTAATATACTCTTCATATACGAAAAAAACCAATTCCCTGTATAAAGGAACCTTCAATCTGCAAGATAAATTCCATGGATAAGATATGGTGCCATCAAATTAATGTACAAGAGCCCAATAAGGCACTATCTATGTTGCAAAACCTGTGCCAGTATTTAGATGTACTTATATGTTCAAGAGATCAGTATGGAGCACAACAGGGCACAGTAAGCTCTTGACAAGGGAAATGCCGAAATAGTTCTATCAGTTAGTTGCATCTCATTGTTAGCATATCCATCACATTAATTGCCAGGAAGATACAGTGTTTGCAAATGTCGCCAAGACTGAATGTTGCAAAATATGAAAACATACAACACTCGGTGATCATTTTTTTATTCTCTTTTCGCAACACCCTCTAAACTGAGATTATGGGGATTGTGTTGTAAGGGTCTACTATTTCTCTCTCTTTAAAGATACGCAGTTCGAGGACAAAAAGAAACATGCAACATTTCAAAACCATACCTGCAATAAATTGAATGTTTGCAGATATAAAATTAAATCCCCATCAGTTAACCCATTTTCATTTGAAAATGCCACCCAACAAGTTAACCCTCTAATATATATCAAACAATTAACAGAAAATGTGCTTCATATTTGAGATGTACTTAAATTACATTACCCTCATCCAGTCCAAAACTATAGTCTATACTCTATAAATCAATGAACCACATTCACAATTAAAATTGGTTAAGACAGGAAGCATAAAAGGATCGACAGCAAAGCTGTCCTAAGTCTACCGCAGGGTTCAAGCTCTTCCCACAGTCATACACAAGATCGCCCCTTATTAAAGTAATTGCTCCTGTAAGAAGATCAATCTCCACCTGCACTTTTTAGAAGATTTCGAATAGAAAGAGTATCACCTATAAGACATCCAAAACATGATTTAACTGTACTGTTGTAAATTAGTCTTGAGAATTTTGGCGCACCTCATTTATACCAGCTCCATAGTTAAGGTATTTATTAGAAACTTGGCCAGGTACCCAGTACGCACTTGCAGATAAATTAACATCATCTTTAGAGGCCTGCTTGGAAACATTACAGGACGTTTTCTGATTGCTGCTACAGCAGGAAATAGTATTGTACAAAGCATGAGCACAAACTAGAGGAGGATAAACTTGCCTGAGAAATCAAAGTATCCCATGAGACATTTTCTGATTGCTGCTGCAGTCTATCCAAGACTGGCTTTAATCTATCAAACAGCATATTGCATGCCTGAAGGGTGGCTGCACAACTAGATTCAGAAGAAGTGCTGCCAGCAGTAAGTCCACCTTGTATTAAGTTCAAGGTGTCAGACTGTAGAACGCGCACTCTCTCAAGAAGACTTTCACCTCCATCAGGCCACAATTTTCCCAGAGCAAAGGCAGTCATCTGCTGTACTTTTGTCCACAGACCTTGCCCGATTTCAATTCCTCCAACCTCCACCACTATGGAGCCATCATTGAGCACGGAAACCCTTCCTGGGGACGGCCTTGGCTCTACTTTGAAAATGAGGGGTACACAAGAGATGCCCCGTTTCCGCCACTTGTTATTGTTAAATTCCATTATGGATTCAGCTCGATCCAGGTAGCTTGAAGTTGAGACCAACCTATCAAAAATAGAATGCAATGTGTACGTAGAAGCTTCGCCCGCACTATCTGGGCAGAACAACTGAAGAATACCATAGGTGTGAAAATTCTTTTCCCTCACGCTGTTCGCGTCCACTGACAGGACAGACGCAACATGCTCAATTACAGCATCTGCAATTAGAGAGCCTTGTGTATCTCCAGGAGCACGCATTACAGATTTAGATGAATTATTAGTTTTGCAGAGCTTGATGTCAAATGACAGAGCACCCCAGTTGTACTTCTTGACACTAGATATAATAGTGCCTGGTATCAAGGGGCTTGCATCTGGAGATATCCCAGCGTTAATTAATAAATCTAGATGCAAGGCCGTAATTTTCCCATCAGACTTGAATCCGACAGAATAATGAGCTTTCACTGGGTGCCTACCACCAATCATAACCATATCAGTGTTGCGATTAAGGTACATTCGTACAGGGCGTCGTAACTTGTACGCACAAAGTGCAGCTGCCGTTGCAACCTGCACAAGCATGTACCATATGTAAGAAACAGATGGTAATGTACTAGGCCTTTATGATTTCATGATATTGATAGCAGATTGTCATATGCAATCACCACAGACTAAAATATCAAATATGTCAACTTAAGTCTAAAATAGTTGCTAGAGATCTTCTAAAGTACATTGAGACTTAATTTGATTTTGTATTAGGGTTTTTCTATTGAGAAGCCCAAATAAAAGAGTCAGAGTTAGATGCATTTGCATGGTGTAAAAGCGCACGGTTAAATGAATATATTGTCAATTAGGCCTAAATGGCTTTCCTCGGAAAACATGATTCCTACATAATCAAACCTCATATATACTCCCTCCGTCCCAAATTTATTGATGTTTTAGGATTCGTGACGGATACCAAGGAACAAACAAAATGACCTGCACACCCCTACGAAGTTGCAGTCTCTGCATGTTTCATATGTCCTATCACTGATACAGCCACAAAGGCCAATGCGCGCAGCAACTGATATCCATTACTGCAGCAACCTTTCATAAAAAAACATGCACTTCCATCGATTATTTTTTCCTTAAACAAATGAATCAGGACATTAGCTGGGACATGGTTCATTAATTGCTCATACGTCCTGTCATTGTTGTAACTGATTCCTATAGGCACAGGACATTCAAGCTAGCAGAACGACACTCTTTGTGGGACTTACTTTGAGAGCTAAAACGTCAGTAAATTTGGGACAGAGGGAGTACTACAAACTATCAATACAACATTTATTTTCCACAAACAACGCGGTTAACAAAGTAGAAGAAAATATTGCATTTAACAATTTTCAAAGTTCAAAACTGTATATATAGAAAACAGAATAATAACTTTTTCATCTGTACTATAAGTCTATAAATGTAAACTTTCGATGTCCTTTTTCAGCTAGCAAGTCTAAGGAAAAAGCTCTTAACTGAAGAATAATAAGGATTAAAAAAAAAAATTGACACTAGTCCTGGTCTAAACATGCAATGACCTCATCACAAGTTAAAAAAGATACAAAAGTACGATAAACTATACTCCAGGGAAAAAAATTTATATTAAAAATAATTAGTTTTCACAAAATGGAAGATTTTGGTTATTATGATCTAGTTTTGTTTATTCTCACTTGGAATGATCTGAATGCCTTTCCACCGAAGCCTCCTCCAACCCTTCTTGTAATGACACGCACATTGCTGAATGGAATACCTAGGCACCTTGCTATGACACTTTGTGCAAGTTCAGGGTACTGTGACGAACTGTAGACTACCAAAGTGTTATCCTCATCTGGAACTGCTAGTGCTGTCTGCGTTTCCATGTAGAAGTGGTACTCAGAGGCAAGTTTTACCTGCAGTCATCAAAACTACATGAGATATCCTCTCTTAGCTACCATGGAAAGGGAAGTAGGATAGGTACTAGTGAAAAGTACACTATGCAATTTCAAACTTCTATATTTTAAACTTCCACCGTAATTGACACTTTATTATTATCTATGCGAAACATCCCAAATTATTTAACATGTATATATTTCAAGTCAAAGTTGGATCATTGGATGTACAAAAAAAAATGAGTCACTAAATGTGTCATTAGTCGTGATTTCTGAACCCAGTTTCCACTCAAAGAACTGGGCCAAACTAGCGGCAAAACTTTTGCCGCCCTTTCGAAAAAAAATATGTAACATTAAAAATAGTTACCAAAATTACACTATTGATAAATTCTAGTGATTTAACGTTACATAAAGTTAAAGTAATGGCTAAAGTCGCATATCAAGACTCTCAAAAGATCAAAATCATCAAGCAGGAAATAACTTTGGTAGTTTGGTTGGTGGGTTGTACTGCTGTACAAGCATTGCAACTCCATTGTGCAGATCAATTTCATGGGATTGCAAGCAATACATATACCACAAAAGTTGGTTATTAATCTAAAACACAAGTACTGTTCTACCTAGATCACCTCAAAACAAAACAGAGAATTACTATTAGTAATTGTTACTTCAATCTTAACTTCAAAGTAGCTACTGTTAGCAATTAATTTGAAGTAACCATTACAAAAGTGACTCAGTAATCCGAACTTTCAGAAGTAGTGGTTTAGACAGTATTCAACACAGGCGGATTATCTCAACTTTTGGCTTGTCAAATGTATCAGGTTTCTTTGTCTATTGATGTATTAATGGAATAGTATGTACAGTATAGTTCAAAGCAGACTCTACACAGGATGAAAAATTAAAATTTTGGAGCACATAGAACTGCATGATTTAATTTCCCTTCATTATTTTATGATGCAAGTGAAATTAAATTATTAACGATTCTGGAAAGTTGTTGAACTAAAATACTTCTGTTGATGGGATTTTGTGATCAGCTTCTGCCATGCCCTTGGAAACATCACCAACTTCTTCAGGATACAATTCTGGGGGGACATCAAAGTAGCTACTCTTTTCCACTGCTTGCTCCACAGTTATGATCGGTGGACTCAAATCTTCTGTGTCATATTCAATAATAACCTGCTTGGCTGCCATGTCAGCATACCTTTGTGTTTCTGCAATCTGAGGTAGAGGTAATGATTTAGCAATACTGATTATGGTCATAATATTCATAATTGTCTTTTATCAAGAAATTTTTAAGAGAGAAATAATTCCTGTGAGTGGTTATACTACAAACATGAAAGGGTAAGTACCACAATGCCAAGAGCTTGACCAGCATACTCAGCAATCGGATAACCAAATAGTGGTTCGTCACCAAACGTGAAGGATGATCCAATATTTTGTCCTCCACTTGGAATATCCTTTGCAGAAACAAAAGAGATGATCTTCTCTAATGCTAAAGAAGACTTGAATTTTATACTTTTGACATAAGCAAGGGGTTGTGTGCTGTAAATAAATTCTCCATAGAGGCAATTCTTTGGAGCAGGAATATCATCCACATATACTGCCTCACCTGTATATAACACAATAGAAACTTCAAATCTAGATCTGCAAAGAGATTCTAGAAAATATCTTGACAACAATACTAATAATTATACTGATGTAACCACATACCTGAAGCTTGAAGTTCAACACCATACTTCTTAATCAGCTCACCGACTGGTTTATATTTGTCACTGGAAAATGATTCTCGACGTGATGATAATGGCAGATTATGGACATCATCTGTATCTGCTGAATCAGCAGATCTACTGGTCAGAGACTTTCCCGGATCTGGGATGCCTTTGGAAAGCGGAGATAGGAAACTAAAGAGAAATCCAACGGCTGCACTGACTCTATATTCAGGATGTGATGTTCCCTCCATTGGTACAACCGTTTCTCTAAGTAACTGAATTGCACCAAGTACAACCGAAGCAGTGAGTGCTTTACCAGTAAGGAATTCCTCCACCTTCTTTGCTCTAATAGCATGTTCTGTTCCATATGCACCAAAAGCAGATTACTCAATACAAGAGTATCTGATTGTTCATCCACAGAAGCATGCCCCAAGAAAGCACAATTTACATATGAAACAGCATTGCCAAGAGGACGAGGTGCTGCTCTGTAAGTTTCAAATAACAAACTTGTATTTGTCCCAGAATCCGAAATCCAATGTGGAATAAATATGCTCAGGAGTAAAGTAGTAGCATCTATAGGAGGCTGCTCTAGGAACTCTTCCAAAGTAATTTGTCTCACTTCTGCAACAACCTGAAGACAAACAGTTGCACCAGCACCAAGGAGTATGGTTGCAATGTCTGATGGAAATGGGAATTTTTGTTCCAAAACTATGTTTCCTCCAATACTAGCTGTGTTATGAACAAAAGGTGTAGCAACTTTGCTCATGTGGTTCGCAAGTTTTCTGAAAACCACACTTCCGTTTGGAGAGGATATAGATTCACATTCTTCCTCAAGTATCTCAATGGTCCTAGAGATTGGTGTAGCTGCTCCAATTTCAAAGCCAGACTCCCTCCTTACAATATTTGAAAGTTCTGGAATGCCTCCTATGTCAATATACTTACTATAGAGGTCTTGATCCTTGTATCCTGGTACACCACTGCTAGTATTCCCAACAACCACTTTGACTGAGTCACTAAATAAACAAGAATTTATTAACTCATAATATTCTTTGATACTTCTCGGATGATACCAACCCTCCCTGGAGGGTGCAATACAAGGATTATTCAGATGACCAAGCAAAGATTTTATCTCAGTTTTTAGAAAGTCTGGGAAGGTGCAAACTCTGCCACCAAGAGTGTAACTTGGCAAGTCACTAACATCTGGGTTACTATCACCTTTCTTCCAGAATATATTAAGGCCCAAATCCTCCAAGTCAACATCTGATGCAAAACTTTTGCAGGCATCCACAATTGGACGGTAACCAGTGCATCTGCACATGTTGCCAGAGAAAGCCTTTTCTGCTTCTGATACTTTTAGTTTTGAGAACCCCTTTGGTGGTTCAGGCCTCTTGGATTTGTCAGCATTGATAAGAGAAGTGAAAATAGATATCCACATTCCAGGAGTGCAGAAGCCACACTGAGAGGCATGAAACCCTGACATCCTTTCCTGAACAGCATGAAAGCCATCGTGGCTATTCCCCAGACCCTCAGTAGTGATAACAGAACAGAAATTTATAGTGTAAAGAAGTGTCAGGCATGAACTTGCTGTAAATTCAGTCACTTCATCCGTCTTTGGGTTATACTCTGCTATAAGGACAACACAAGCCCCACAACCGCCTGCAATATGAATTAGCGAGAACAAGACATACTAAAAATACCACGCAGACGTGCAAGAATAGGTTGAACTGAAGGATCTGAATCTAACTGAATAAAATAACCAAATATGTTGCGATTTGATTTGTCCAGTAAAGATTTTTAATTCCAAACCTGAATTTAAACCTCCAAAGAAAATAAATATAGTCAACAAGGTGATTGAGAAGTAAGAAATTAATTCAGTTCACAATCTTACAATTATAAGGATTACTGTCATGCGGATACAAATATCTGCATGCTTCTTTTTCATAAGAGATACTTTTGACATTGTATTTGCGTGGCCTTTCCATGAACTTTTAAGAGCCTTGCCAAACAACTTCCTCCCAAGTTTGCTGGACCCCAAAAAATTCCTATCTATATCAAGAAACGTAAAACTAACCTGAATCTGAAGTCGCACTACATAGGACAAATAGAACATTGTTTCGTTACCCTGGTGTCACTGATGGATGTAAAGGGCGCCACCAAGACCGAATGCACGGAAGGAGCTCGATACTGGCGGCATCTCTGCCGCCAATTCTGTCCGAAGCGAGCTGCAGCACTCAGCGGCCACCCCAACTCGTGCGCCATGGACAGGGAAGTCCCTTGCCGCCGCGCATCCGTGAAGCAAGGCACAGGAATGGCGGCTTCTTCATTCGTCGACGGCTAGAGAGCGTGGAGACTGGCGGGCGGCTCTCGAGCGACGGCGTCGCGCGAGGAAAAAGTGCTTGGAAGTTATTCGACGAAAAGCGTCAAAGCCGTCGTGTTAGGGGGTGAATTTTAGTCTCTGTCATATAAGATATAAGATGTTTGACACTAATTTAGAATATTAAATATAGATTAATTATAAAACTAATTGTATAGATTAAGATTAATTTGCGAGACGAATCTATTAAGCCTAATTAATCTATGATTTGACAATGTGGTGCTACAGTAAATATATGCTGATGATGGATTGATTAGGCTGAATAGATTCATCTCGTAAATTAGTCTCCATCTGTGTAATTAGTTTTATAATCAACTCATGTTTAGTCCTCCTAATTAGCATCCGAACGTCCGATGTGACAGGGACTAAACTGTAGTCTCTGGACCAAACACTCCTTAGTCATTCGGCTCCGGTAAGTCTTGTTATTCCCTTCGTTCTGAATGATAAGTCTGCTTTAACTTTTTTAAATTCATTTATTTTTCTATGTATCTAGACATAATAGTAAAATGAATATAATAAAAAAAATCAAAGTAACTTATAATTTAAAATAGATGGAGTATTATAATATTTAAGAGTTAAATACATAAACTGCCTTAATTTTATCAAAGAATGTCACTTTAGGACCACATGCTTTGAAAACATATTTGTGGTATGTGGTACGCCGCAGGTTGATATAGTCTATAAGTAGATCTATGGTGCACCATTAACAATGTGTAGTTGATCACTTAACAAGTTTAGAGATTTAGAAGTATATTTTTAAAGTTTGTGAACCTAATTGGTAGCCTAGTTCAAAGATCGCTCAAGCGATGTTTTAAAGTTGGCGATCAACTTACTATATATTTAACTCTATATTACTTTTAAAATTCTAAACTTAAATAAACTAAGACGTTATTTGATGCAGGTGTATTCAACTTAGTCCATATATATTAGAGTAGATTTAGGTAAAAAAAATTAAACACTTTCTCCATTTTAAATTATAAGATGTTCAGTTTTCTAGACATATTTTTTATTATATATCTTGAGTGTATATTTAAGTACATAGATAAAGCTATGTATCTAGAAAGAACACAATATATTTTTTTAATTTGGAACGAAGAGAGTAGTTTTTATCCTAATCCACTCCAACACACAAAGATTGATTTAAATATAATTATATCCAAACAATTCCAAAGAGTATGTGCTACATAAGTATGCATAAGTCTTTAGCCTACGAAGATCCGTAGACTATGGTGCTAAAACAGCTCCCACACTCTACACACAGGGGGCGGAGCTACAACAAATTTGAGGTGGGTGTGCTTGCCTTATGGGTGCGTAGATTTTTATTGTGAGAATGCGAATATGGTGGAATTTAGCCACAATCATAGTTTTCTGTTTTTGCGTGGGTGCGGCCGCACCCACTAATCACATCCGCCCCTGTCTACACAGGGATGAAAACAGATGATAAATCTCATCCCATGCCGTTTTGTTTACAGCGCTAGTTTCATATTTTGGGGAGAATTTTGAAGGGATGAAAAAGGAACTTTGGAATTTGGATGGATATTAAAATGTGACAAAAATAGTTTTAGTATTCTTAGACTGTTATTGCATTTCCCACTTTTTGATACATACAAAAGCCACAACGCCTTATAATTTAGAATGCAATTTATATGATGTTTTGGCTTTTTTAGATATATAGAAAAATCAAAACATCTTATTATTCAGAACAGAAGGAGTATTAGACATGACAAGTAAAATAAATTTCCTTTATTTTAAGGAATAAAACTGAAAAAATATATATGGATTGAAGTAACTGTGACACTGAGATGTGCTCACACTACTTACAGTCCTTTGTTGAACCATCACATGAATTTGACATTATAGTTGATTCGACTAATGAAGACACGGTAAGTGTTAGCAGAGCGTGTCCTCGTATGTCAATGTGAGCCTGGTACTCCCTCCCTTCTTCGTATCATATGTTGTTCTAGCTTTCTCATAATCTATTTTTAGATATCGTTTCACGAAATTGATGTCTAGAGACGAACCGACACCTCGCTATCCTAGAGATCAATTTCCAGAGGTAGTCAAAAAAATCCTACCGCCTTTAGAATATTTATACAAAATTTACAAATTAGATAAAAAAAAATAGCAAAATTACCATGGGGGAAGCCCACAAGGCAACTGTCAGTGGCCGCGTCTCACGCAAAATACACGTGTGTGCGGCCTGGGGATCAAACTCATAACTCAGATCTTCTGTGTTCCTTTCTTACTACTTCACCTTTATGTCACTTCAGACCAAGTGGTTGATATAATGATTTTCTATTCATTGTAGCGTATACTATAGTGACTATTAGACACACTAAACTAGTCTAAATGAAAAAAATAAATTTAATAAGTTTTAGATCTTTTCGAGGACTATAGCTTTAGTTTAGGTTGTTTCTCCATTCAAAGTCATTTGAAAAATTCAAACAAATGGAATTTTAAATCTAAAACTTAAACATATTTTTTAGGCCCTAAATGATTTCAAATGAAAAAATAATCAACTACAAAATTTTGGTTCCCTTAGATTACTACAACTTTAGTTTAGATTGTTCCCCATCCGATGTCATTTTAAAAATTCAAAAAAAAAAGAATTTTAAATTCTGCAGACTTTTAAAAAAATGGGCTCTAAATGATTCTAATGAAAAAATAATCAGCGACAAAGTTGTGTATATCTTTGAGTACTATAATTTTGGTTTAGTTTATTTCTCCATCTGATGTCATTAGAAAATATTAAAAAAATTGGATTTGAAATTCTAAAAAGCTAATATAGGATTTCTAGGCTCTAAATGCTTCCAAATGAAAACATTGTCAACTACAAAGTTTCAGATATCTTCAAGTATTACAACTTTGTGTAGGTCATTTCCCTATCCGAGGTCATTTTAAAATTTTGAAAAAACTGAATTTCAAATTCTAAAGAATTAATACATAATTTCTAGGCCTTAAATGATTTCAAATGAAAAAGTAACGAACTACAAAATTGTAGATCTCGAGTACTACAACTATGATATAAAGTTTACCTTCGTTCGACTAGGTTTGTAAAAACTAAGAATTTGACTATGCTTTAGAGGCGAGCCAAATTGCCAACAACTTCTACAAATCCATTTCTAGGGATGGTTGTAAAGCCTAACTACCTCTAGAAAGGCATTTTTAGTGGCAGTTGAATTTTCTAGCCACCTCTAAAATAGAGGGTACGTTCTAGAGGTGGCTGAAAAAAAATGATTTCAACATGGTTCTTGATGTAGTTGTCTATGGACTAAAAGGGCAACGCCTCTAAAAATGGTTTCTATTGTAGTGAAATTAATTAATATCTTTTTCTTAGCAGGGTTATTAGCTATCCTATTGGTTGAGTCCCATCTGGATTCATAGGCTCTATATCTAGGTCCATTAGTGTTGATAGTTAGCTAGTAATAGCTAAAAAGCTATTAGCAATTGCCTATTTAGATCCACCTATTATTAGTTTGGTTGAATAGTTGGTCCAAGGTGTATATGAACTATTAACACCTATTAGCATCCCTTTACCAACTAATAAACTAATTGTTAACACCTGCACTTGCTAATAATTAGCCGACCTCTTTAGATGCCCACCTGCTAATTTTAGCTACTACTCCCTCCGTTCTAAATTATAAGATGTTTTGACATTTCTAGATACATAGTTTTTACTATGTACGTAGACATAACTTATATCTAGGTGCGTAGCAAAAGCTATTAATCTAGAAAAGCCAAAATGTTTTATAATTTAGAACGAGAAAGATAATTTTTAGTGTACTAGATCCAAATCATCTCTTTATAAGCTAGTTAATAGCTTTTTATAAGCTGGGGGTAGTTAAACAGTTCAAACTGAGCTATAAGTTAGACTATAAACTTATTAGTTCAAAATGAGCTCTAAGTTGGACTGTTTGAATCGGCTAGAGCTCTTTTTAGTAGCTAGTAACTTGTTTTAGTCGATCCAAATAGGACCCTAATAAGGCTATTAGAATCTATTAGTGTTTAATTTGAACTGCTAACGGATCTAAACACCGCCTTATTTATTATGTTTCATTTGCAAAAAAAAAAGTACGAAACGATGGTGTTGCAAATAGTCACTACTGTACTGGTTTTTTCATATAGCTGCGAGAGTCATGCACCATCCCTAAAATAAAAAGAAAAAAGAATTGGCGACTATTGCACGTCACATGTAGTACGCTACTATATATATATAGCCCAATCGCTATCTCCGAAGATAGTTTAATTTGATACTCAAACTCAAGCCACCACATCCACATGA